GTGAAGAGGAGAATCATTCTGATGGAAATATTTTTGAGCTTTCAGATGCTAGCAAGTAACCAATCATTTTTCATATCAAGTGGATTAAATCTGTAACCTGTTAGTTACCATAGGAATTGAGTGGTACTGTTTGAGGTTAAAATGTTTATTTAGTTGACAATAGAGATCACAACAGAAAAATCTTAGCAACAAAGCCATTAAAACAGTATTCTGGAAGTGGCTTCTTTTCTGCTGCAGAACCACTTCATTAATTCAAGTGTATATTCATTAGAAATGCCATAGGATAGAGAAAGAATAGGAGAAAATAAAAAAGATAAAATTATCAACACCAGCATTTGGACACCAAATCTTTAAGCGGAAAGTGAAATGAAGGTGCCAGGCTACAAGTTCCTGAGAGAAGGATGTAAGCAATTAGAAACCAGTGAATAACCACAGCATAAATGTAAGACAGAAAATGTGGGCCATGGGAATCATTAGGAAAAAAAATCCAAAAAGAAAAAGAGAGTTCTGCTGATTTCTTGTATTTGTCATTCTAGTCATGTTCTGTAATCTCATAAAATGGTTGAAAAACCTTTCTGTTTTTAGAATGCAAGTGAAGTGTGACCAGAAACACACGATATGCATTAACTATCATAAAACAAGCAGTCTTATTTTCATCAAAAAATAACAAATCACAACTCGAAATACACATCATATGTACCTCATCCTTCCACTATTTTCTTATTTTTAGATATGGTCAGTGGTAAAAAAAATGTCCAGATGTAATTCCAAACTTCATAGAAACATCTTTAATATTTGACTTGGAGTGTTTTTTGGTTGCAAGAACTCAATCAAAGTAAAATCTTTACAAATATTTTGCATTAAATTCTGAAAACTCTCTTGCACTCTTCTAAGTCTGAAATAAATAACAAAACTTTACAATTTGTCCAAAATCTTATGTAAAATGTCATGAGGGATGCCAAAAATCCCACTTTTTATTAATGAGAAAAATAGAATGGAATATATGTTCTGTAAACCCATGCTGGTCAATATGTATTATTATTAAACAGTGAGTAGTGGTTCTACATTTTGAACCAAGATCTATGAATAATCAGACACCAAAATTAAAAATGGATGTAGATATGTCAACACAAGAAATATCATCTGTGATATGATGGCAGTAGAGAAGGTTTTCACTCTAATAGAACCAAACCTTCCCACTTCCAATTTTGCTAATGACCACGTGTCTTGAGAGACCCTTAAGGCAATGTGGGTAAGTCATTGCCATGTTACATATTCCAAGGCTGCAATTTTCTGGCTTGCCTTTTATTTTAGGGTCATATGGGTTCTGCTTTTGGCAGGATTTTCTGTAGTAATTTCCATTTCCCTTTGCTTAATACTTTCTCCTTTGTGAAATTTAATGTCATGTTATTGCATAGTCCCTCCCACAAGGATCTGAATTGTGTTTTGGGCACTCCTATTTAGTGGCTCAGTTATGGTTCTTGAAATAACTCTCTGTTTCTTAGGGCCATAACCTCGCCCCTTGTGGGCTCTAGAACAAGCTGTTCCAAGAAACAATTGCTTAAAATGTCAAGAAATTGCTTCCTAAACTTTGTCCCAATATGACATATGACCACTTTATACACTGACAGTTGAAGTCCCCCATTACTACTGTTTTATTAGATTTAGTTTCCTCTATGTTCTTGACATTGCACACACAGTGTGATTTTCTTTATCTGCAAGTGAGTAGTTACAAGTGCAGGTGCTGTCTCTGCACAGAGAGCAGCACAAAATTATTCATAATTTAATTCTATACATGTCTCTTTTTAAGGATGAAATGAAATATGGGCTGTGTCTAGCATTTTTTACAGACATTCTGAACAAATGTGTACTTTAATTTCTTTGGATATACAAACCAAATTATAAAACATACTTGTGTGTCAATGACTAATTTTTGGTGATTTTAATTCATTAATTATAGTTTAAGCCTTTCATTTTCCTGGGGCTAATCTACTCCGTTGAGCCTTGCCAAACTAAGGATAGAGACAAAATCTGATATTACAGATTTATAAATGCCAATATGAGTTCTTTCCAAAGAAAACATATTTTTCCTTCAATTTTCTGCTTCTGCAACTTGAATAAAGAAGAACAGAGCTATTAGGTCCATATTAGAGTTACTAAGATTGAAGTTTCACAGTCATAGGATTACAGTTCCCTTTCACCACATTAAAATTATTGTTTAGGTCCCAACTTAATTGTTTAGCTCATTGAAATGTCTCACTAGGTTAACTAATCATAGCACAAGCCAATGCCAGATTTGGGAAGACTACCAAGCTGTTAAACTGCCTCATCGCAAAACTTCTGGCTCCATAGGAGGCAGATTTCTACTGCAATCATCAGAGTGCCGTGCTTGTGTTCCTTGGAGGATCTGAACTGACTGGTTGTGACCAGAGCTGCTCCTCAGACTCACTTTCAGTCATCACCTCAGCTATTTACATGGCTGAACCTTTCTCTTTACTTCTAACCTCATATCTCAAAGCACCTTACCATCCAGTGCAGCTGCCCTCCTCCAGCACATCCCTGGTTTGGCACTCCTGTCCCAGGGGCTGAAACCTGACCCAGTGTTGTACTTCCATGCGGTACTTAAACCCTCTCTTCAATAACACAGTGCTGATTCCTCTGAATTAATAGTACAGGCAGTTACTCTGACATTATCAAAATTCTTTTTAAACAAGGGTCTTAAAGGATCTGTGGAAATTTATAACAGAGGTTCTTTTAAAACAAAACCCTCAAACCTTTTTTTGTGCAAAAGTTCTGCCAAGAATGAGGACATAACTCCTCACAGGAAGTATTCCCAGTCTCTACTGATGTTAACTGCTTGATTTACTGTAGTTAATTCTCAGAAAAACAGTGGAATGTATCCATTGTATACAGTGGAATGTATCTTTGAATATAAGAGGAAAAATTAATTTTCTTTTGTTTGAAGTAAAACTATATATTACATGAATGAAAAAATAGTAGCTGTTAGTTTTTTGGAATAATTAGAATCTATTTATTTCCCTTAGTACAATGAAAAAAAAATAAAGTTAGTCTTTTTTTTTTTTTAATTACTAGAACTCAAAAAACCCGTATTTTTCAAGTATAAACCAAGTGTTACATTAATAAGCACAGAAATTTTCCAAGGAATCTAATGTCAATCTTTTCAGTACCTTATAATTCACCAAAAGGAAATACTGGTTTCTTGAAATATGAAAAATTACTTGTGGTTTTCTCTTATACTAATTTTCCATATTCTTAGACTGCATACTTCATTTCTTATACATTTATGACATCCTCTCCGTAACCAGTTGTGTTTTCTCTGGCTAGCTCCTACACTAAAGGATTATTTAGTTTGTATTTTACTCAGTGGGCCATGAATCCTAATTGTCACATGCCATGCAATTGATTTTCTATTCATAAAACAAGGTGTTTTCAATATATACCAGTAATTAGCCTATGTACTGTGATTTAATAATCACATTTGAATGTTCTTTGCTGTAGCTTAAAAGAAAAAAAAGTGTTCTTCACTGTGCTGGTGTAATTGTACTGATAGGAGCAAGCAACCTTCTTACCCTGTCACAGGATCAACACAGAGGAACCAGTCCTCTCTGTGCCTATATAGCCCCTGAGTACCAAAATGCAGGGGCTGCTTTTGAGGCAAGAGGCAGAGTTGAGATGTGATGCTCTCCATAGGTGATGGTCCCACAAAAAGAATAAAGTGCCATGCATTTAACTTATGACTGATTCAATTGAGCTATTCTTTGTTAGAGCTCAAATTAATGAGTCCCAGCAGCCTGGTGTTATTCGGCTTAAGAATAAAGGAAATCAGGAACTCTCAAGAGTAGTGAACTAGGGGAAAACTCAGGTTTACAAGCAACTTTTCTGAAGACCTGCGCTATATGCACCATGGAAAGAATGGTCATATGAGATTTATTATGATGTAATCTGGCCATTTCAAGGCCATTGAGGCTAAATCTGCTGCTTTGAGGGATTACTTTTGTTCCAGAGAATGTCTTAACTTCATTAAACTGTAAATGTTGTACTACTTCTCTTGTACATTTTCTTCTTGTGTTCAGTACTATTCAATAATCTCCTAGGGTTTAGAACAAATTTCTCTATAACATTTCTACTTGGAAATGAAGACTCTTGAGTATTGTTGACCTACAAGGAACAGCAATCACCAGTCTCGGAAGGTTTTCTTGGAGGTTCAGGGCTATATGCAAAGCAAACTATAAGAAAAAGAGATACAACAGTTTTACTAACTTTAAAATTAGAATTATCCTAAAAAGCTTAGATAGGACTGAGTTGATAGGAATTTGATGCAAGGGCATATCTGGATCTCCTGGGAGGTGCTGATGTTTGTGAGCACTATGAACTCAAGCTGCTGTGTCCTAAGAACAGGACACAACATCTCTCATAATTACTGACTCATGTCCCTACAGTTCTAGCACTACCATGGCAATGGAACAACATTTTGGGAGGAGGACTTTGAGAAGGTTTTAAGAAAAATTTTAAAAATTACTTTGCGATATTCAAAAGCATTTTACATCACTGCAGAAATGCTGGGAGATGGAAGAAAGTGGGAAACACAGTGCAAGTACACCCCTTTCTTTGTGCTCCCAATAAATCTGCCTCTATAGCAAGTCAGATTTTTCAGTTGTATACCTATGAACACATATCCGTTTATCCTGGTTGAATATCCAAAAGTTACAGTGTGTAACCAAAATCTGCCTCACTCTCACACTCGCAAACACACAGACACAACACTAAACTTCTTAAGAAAAAAGGAGTTCTCAGGTAAACTCATTATTATTATGAGGCATAAAACATGCAGAAAACTCAAAACCAATAACCACTTTATCTAACACATTCCTTCTAATGAAATAAAGAAAATAAGTAAAATTGAATGTGATTTAAATTTGTGTAGAATTTGGTGTCAAAGAAAAAGAAACAGAAGTTCGTCATGGTTTTTTTTTTCCTAGAAGTTTTCTCTATTTTGGCAAGATAAATTGTGGAAAATGGCCAGGAAGGATACCTCAGAAAAGTTCCATGAATGTTTGTCATAATAACAATGACAATTATAATAGGTAAGTTACTTTGCTTGTTTGCTAAGTGCTGACAGTATGCTCCCAGACAATTGATGTTGGCTGTGTTTACTCCTTTTGTGTCTACTTTTTCCGAATGTTGTGTGGGATTATAATTGTCATGGGAATGTTTGTTGAAATGTTCATTTTAAAGAAGATATTAGAGGAAATTCTCAAATTGTCAATTCTGTACTCATAAATGCTACAGCTATTCCAGAAGTTTGATTTACCTGTGAATTCTGTTTAGTTTTTTAAGAAAAAAAAATAAATAGAATGTTTTATTCAGTCATAATTAACACAAGTAAAAATTACAGATTTTGTTAGCAATGAGCTGCTTGAATGTAATCTACCAAGCAAGATATTTTCTTAATACTCCTGTAGTGATTCCTATCAACTAATGGGCATGTGAGATAGATACTGTAAGAATTTCACTGCTTGTGTATTGTGGTTCCTATTGGCACCCCTCTACAGGACATATGATACTGTTGCAATCTTAAATAGAAAGAATTTAATTTCATAAATTACTCAGCATTTGGGTTTGCTTGGTTTTGTTTTTTTGTTTTTTGTTTTTTTTAAATTTTGCTTAAGCTGCTCATAAACAGAAATCCTTACTAAGGATTCATGGCATTTCAAAGTTACAGACCTGGAAGACAGATATAACCATGGGGAGCAAGCTTACAGACTGCTCAGGAGAATACATAGAATAGTTCCCTTCTCACCCCAAAACCTGGGAGATAAAATCAACCAAGTGAAGAGCTAAGCAAATGAAAACTCAAGGAAAAGAAAAAAGGGAAAGAAGGAAAGAAGATAGATAATTTGCTTTTCATTTATAGATTGTGATTCTTTCTTTGATTTTTATTGAAATGTGTTTATTAAAAAAAATAAAAGCAAAGCTTAAAAGACTAAATAAAATAACCTGCCCAAAAATATGAACAAGAACATTTATCAGAAAACAGATGGTCTCTTATACACAGAATTAAACATCTCTAAAAACATACCAATCCATTTATCTTGATGAATTCACCCTCTAGCAAATATCTCAAATAGCAGCAGCAATTTACCTGCAGGTCTGGAAAACACATTTGCATGAGGATACATGATGCAGAAATCAGTTCTGGAATTTAGTTTTTACATTTTGAGCAGGAATAATATGGTAAGTTTTCCCTTCTCCATCCTCAGTCAGAAAAAGCTTCTCTCCTAGTCCTGTGGCTTAAGGGACCAAATTTAATTCCAGACTAAAATTTAAGCTATGTACAACTCTTTTAAGTACTACCTATTCACATTATCTTCCACTGAGTCATCTGGAAATACAGCCTGGGTTCTGCACATGCTTTCTGCTGCAAGAAATCTCTAAGAAATTGAATTATCAGGCTTTCCACCTCCTTTTCTATCACTGGAGAAGTTTAATAATGAAATTTTAGTATTGGTCAGTGATAACAATTAAAAAAGGTTATTTTGAGCACACTGAAAATTAACTGTTTACCATATGCATGTGCAGAAACTCCTGTGTTATCACCACTGAGAAATTATTAGTCAGGATAACCTTTTCAGATTTCTCAAAGACTCAGATAACTCCTCTTGACCAGAAAATTTTGAAAAATGACAGAGCATTATAGAAACTGACAATTTTAACATATTCTTCCAAGGAATTCATTGCAGCACTGTAAACTATAAACGTTAGTGCCATGAAATATCTCTGGCTTGGCTTTTGTGGCATTTACAACTGCTTTTAGATTAGAATACTTCTAGAGACTTTCTGTATGAACTTCTTTTACATCTGAGCTTATCTGAATGATTAAAAATATTCTTGTAGCACTGAAAGGCACTCTTAAATAGATACATATCAACCTATAGATTCACATTTAGTCCTCTGAAATTAGAAGGAAATGATCATGGAAAGACTACTAGAAAATCTTGGTGCAATAAGGAAAAATATTTCCTGAGACATCATGGAAAATTGGTATTTGCTCCATACTGGATTTACAGCATTTCTAGCATACTGGATCCAGTGCTAGTTTCTCAGGGTCTCCTGGTCAATACATGCAGTCGTTTCCATAGGAAGAGCCTACAGCACAATGTAAACACAGAGGAAAGGTCCAAACAAGTCATTTTCCTAAGCACTTACACCAGCTAATTAATTAAGTTGGTGAAAACTCGGTCTCCCATTTTAAAGATATGATAATTCAAGTTTCTCAGAGGATAATCTGCTTCTGTTGTCAGAATCAGTGATGTTACTCCCCTGTCATCAGATTACTGATATGGCAAGACTCACTTTTCCCCAGGCACTCAGAAAATGAGAAAGAACTGTGAGAGCTAGAATGTAGGTGGGAACTCTGGGGATTTGTAATGCATTATTATAAATTGCTTTGCTATTTATGTAGATTTAAATAATAAAATATACCCATAAGCCTTCTTATCAGCCACATTAAATATGTTTTAAAAGAAAGGACTAAGCCAACCTGCATTTAAAATTCCTCACTGCCTTTGCACCCGATCAGTGCTGTGGGATTTACACGTCCCCAGACATCCTTTGTAAACTCTGTGTAACAGTGTGTGCAGAGAGACCCAAAGAGGCAGTTTTGGGCCAAGGGAGAGTGTCTGTTACAGGAACTTGAGTCATTACTCTGGACAGGGCAAGACTTGTCAGCTATCTCTGCTTTATGATGAGCAATTAATCTCCAGTGCCTTTTCTCCCATCACTGAGGGTGAGGTGGGAGGAGAGGCAACACATCAGGCAGAGGGCCCCAGGATATTAATTATTTTTCAATATGCTAACACCTGAAATTCTGGCCTAGGACCAGTGAGCAAGTAATGCAGATCCTTTTAAAATATGGGTATATGATAAGTTGGGTTTGTGAGAGGAGCATATGGTGAAAGGAGAGGCACTTTTGGTGCATACTGACTAATTCTTTAATTGTCTTTGATAAGGTATTGTATTTAAGCTAATGATTTAATTAAATGTGACTGTGAAATGAAGTGTTTCCTCAGAAGCCCTGTATTTACATGTGTCTTTCATATGTGTGAGACACTTTCCAGAGGGTGGATCTTCATTGCTAGCCCATGGCTAGGTAAAAGAGTTTAAAAAAATGGTTTCCGATACAGTACACAATTTCTGTGTGAATAAAGTCTATAATAAAGTCCAGAAGATTTCTACTGTCTTCTGCAGTTAAGTTGAAACATCATGTCAGAAAGGTGAAAAAGAACAAAAAAAAAAAGGGACCTTAAAGACAATGACAAAATGCCTGGGGATCTGTATTGAATCAGTTCAATAAAAAATGTCTTTATCGGTTTTTTTTAAAAAAATGTGGCTGGGATAACATAAATACTGAATAAAATTGTCTGTTTTCTTCCCAAAGCAAGTTATTTTTTACAAAATTTTGATTTATGCTCCTTTTAAGCACTCCCTTTCTGAGCTGTTCCTCACAGTTACCTGGGATGTGCCCTGACAGTTTATCTCACAGCATCTCTCCAGCAGAAAAGACATAAGAAAGAAATCTCTCTATCTCTCATGTGCAAAATTTTGTTTTGGAAAGAAGCCTTTAAGAAGTTTTTAAAAGGTCGATTAATCAATCAGGGAAAAGTAAAAATGTTATTTGACTTGGAAGCCTGGCCACACCACTCAGATAATGAATGATGAATACTGAGCCTTTGAGTGAATCCTTACAATCAACAGCCCATGACTAATCGATAGGCTGACATTTTCACACAGTTGCTGAAGATGATCAAATTTCATAAATATCAAATTGTTTTTTGGAAAAAAAACATGAAAAAGAAAAAAAAAAAAAGAAAAAAAAAAAAAGGATTAAAATTTACCTGCTGACTGGTGGCTGTTGCTCAGGGGTGCTGCCCCTGTGTGCAGGGAGAAGATGCCACCTGCAGCCCTGCCAGCCCTGCCTTGCCCAGGGCTGTGCAGGTCCCAGCCTGGCTGATGGAGGCAGCTGGGGCTGTGGAAGGAAGGATGGCACTCACAGCCCTGCCACACCACTGCCCAGGGGAGCTGTATATTCCCTCACACACACAAATGTACACCACATCTCACAAATGAGGACTTGATTGGTATCTCAGAAGGCAGGTTATTCATGTTAATCTGTCTGGAGAGGTCACTTCTGAGTCACTACCGAGCAAAGTTACAAAGGACAGCAGGGTAAATAATTAAGAGAGCAGTTAATAGGGACCAGGATTGCTTGATGACCTGGTCTATGTAGAAAAACTGTAGCTTAAGGTCATGAAAAAGCTATTCAGCAAGAACAAAGGACGAAAAACACAGTGTATGCTGGAAAGCAGATGCTTAAAAAAGAATTAACATGAAATTCTAAAGCAGTGCTGTGGCAAAAGCAGCCAGTATTGCCTGTGATTAAACAGGAGCATGAAAACAGGAAGGTGGTTTTTATCCATGTAGCCAGTCTGACACAGGAAGGCAGGCAAGCTTAACTCCACGACAGGATGTTTAAAATCTGGAAAACATGAGGAACAAAAAAGTCACAGAAAATATTCAAATCTTTGAGTAAATGCCAGGTCTGTTTAGTTTATCAAAAAAAAGTTTGAAGACTGATTTGATTGCAGCATACATGTATCTACTTTCCAGGGTGAAATAAGCTCTTTTGAGTTAGAAGAGTAAAGATAAAACTAGTGGTGGAAATCTATTGCCAAAATAATTCAGATTAGAAATTGCAGATATTATATTCTTTAAATTCTTTTTTTCTTTTGACTTGTTGGCAATTATCCACTGGAAATGGATTACAAGGGGAGGGGTTGTATCTGTTGTCTCCAAATGAGGATGTTTTTCAGAAGACTTAGCAACATGGAACTATTTTTTTTTTAGAAGTTGCAGTGTGGGGTACAAAATGTTAACTTGATAATTTCTAGTTACTTATGAGTTTGAGATGTGCTGGTACAAATACTGAGTTTTAGCCCTGAGGTTTCTTGCCACATTCCTAGTTTTGTCATAATTTGAAAATCCAGGTAGCAATTAGTCAGACATATCCTTGCCCTTGATAGATGACTTCACTTTGAAAGCAGCTGTACCCTGATGTGCTGTTACATCTGCAGATTGCTGTGATCACTTCTGTTTGGTTCCCCATCATGGCCAGGCCTCTGCCTGCAGGTGGTTTCACACAGAGCTCTCCCTTCACCTTCTCATTTAATATATGGCACCAGCTTCAATCTTAAAATCAGGTAGCAGTGTTGACATAAGTCTATCTGAGCTATACCACATGTCATTAAATTTGAGGTGTGAAAAAGCTTTTTCACTCTAAAAAATCAATTAAAATTTCAAAGGCAATCTCTGTACAGCCTCTGGAAATCACCAGCCAGTGAGGCTGGTGCAGCCTGTGCAAGCTAAAAAAAGGAAAAAGAATGTGAAGGGGTCTGGATAACACCTCCTTTGTTTAGTTTTAATATGCTTTTTAACTCAGCCCAAAGATGATCACAGTGAGCAAGATTTTTGAAGGTATTTCTAGTACTGGGAGTATCTGAACAAAAGGTTAGTGGCTCTAGGATTGGAATCATGTTCTCCCAGGAGAAACATCAATGAAATCAGGCCATAACAGACCCAGCATGCATTGTTTTCTTTGGTTTGGTTTGGTTGTTTTACAAATCAGAGCTGAAACCTTCTGAAAACATCCTCAACCAATATAAAGAAAGAAAGAAATTACTGATTATTAACTACATAAGTTATTTTATTTCCCTTCTGACTTGGTTTGGGTACCTTGAAGATGATTAGTTTGATCTAAATTAAATTGATCTTGTTCTGATCAATGACCAAAATATATTACTTAGAAATTAAACATTTTGGATAAATATTACTGTTGTTAT